AGCAGGGTTTGTGCCAAAGATGTCTTGTAGCATGCCGAAGCCCCGTTTCTAACCCCCTCTTGGCCAAAGCACCTTAATTAAACCCTTCCAGGAACCCTAGGCCCTGAAACTTCCCATACAGCCCAGCTTCCTTCATTAGATGTTACCATGCCTTCGACCCTGAGTGATCCCTAGAGTTCAGATGACCCACTAACCCACTGTTCAAGTATCTGAGACCGTGAATCCCGCTTTAATCCCTAAGCCGTGCACGCCTTTATCCTGAACCCAGAACAGTACCTAGTTTGTACTTTAGGGTTTGGGGCTACACTGCTGTCCCACGCCCTACAATACAAACGAGCAGGTTATGACCCCTTAAATTGTAGGCCCTAAATCCTGAATCCCCAAATGCTAAACCCAAAACCATCCTAAACCCCAATCCCTGCAGCCGGAAAGCCGCAAGCAGCACACGCCACCTAGAGGTTTGGGGTTTAGGGTAGCCAATGTCCGACAACGAGGCCTGCTGCAAAAAGGGTAGCCAATGTGTCCTTAACAAAGGGTATCCAAACTAATTACCTAACCTTTTTCGGTGATTACACAGTCCCTAAATAGCCCCAAAGGTGAACTTCTCTGGGCAACACCAAGAAGTCCCGAACCGTATCGATCCCAGAGCTTTCTGCAAGCTGCGGGCTTGAAGTCTCCCTCAAGAGAGGGAGGGGGTTTCAGTTACCCTAAGGCTCCACGTACACGTATAGTATAACCTAGGCCTTAAAGTGCTTATAGAAACCGTTTTAAGGCCGAAGCGCATGCTTTAATATGTGCACGAGGATCCTCATTAAGAAACCCTACAGAACCCTCATGGAACCCCTACAGGAAAGCTGGAAAGGGGACATGGAGCCTTAGAGCTACGGTGTTCCGAACCCACGCCCCAAGCCCATGTCGGGACGTCCCGAAGTTTAATGATCAAGGTATCGGCCGCTGAGGCATCAGGGGTTCCTTTAAAGGGATCTATAAGGGTTTCGTTAAGGGGATCTATAAGGGTTCCTTTGAAGGGATCTGCAGGGTGTCGGGCATGGGGCTTAGGAGATCAGGGGTGTAGGGCTTGGGGTTTCGGGTTTGGGTTTTAGGGTTTCGGGTTTAGGTTTTAGGGTTCAGGCTTCAAGCAAAGACGAGTCTGGTGCAAAAAAGGGTTTGGGGTTCATGAGCTGTGTCAGTGACCCAAACCGAAGAGCACAAAAAGTTGGAGCCCGCCCTTTCTAGGGTTCCCTTTAAGGGAGCTCTAGGGTTCCTGTAGGGTTCCATTTAATGGATCTATAGGGTTCCCTTTGCTAGGGATACTGCCTTTTGAAGTCTCGCTTGGCCAAAACCCTACATATTCAGATACGCCTCATATGGACATTGGCGGCAAAGGACTTCTCCCTGCAATACCAGGAGAAGCCCTCGGTGTGCAACGTCATGGGAAAGACCTAAATCCTAAACCCTAGACCAAAACCCCCAAACAAAAAACCTATGACTACAAGACACCAAGTTCGAAACGCCTATAAAGAGAATCCCTAAACCCTAAAATTTAAGCTCTGGAAGCCTCAAGCTCGCAATCGCTTAGGTCTGAGATACGGAACCCTGAAGCCAACCTTGGCGGTTCGACATGCCGAATTGCTCGCCCGCAAAGCGGGATTGTCGCAGAAAACCTGGCAACATTGTCCAAGACTCCAGGGCGTGCTCAGCTGCTACTGCAGCATTTTCTGTTACTGCTACGGTTTCGTTGCTGCTAGCCTAGGTTTGCTACTACCACCGGCAACTACTACCGCCCCGACGACTGCTATCACCACTACCACTACTCGTGACGTTACAACTGTTATCGCACAACTGTCTCCGACTCCGACTTGCTCCTGCTCATCCTCTCCTACTTATCCTTTTCCTCCTGCTACTACTACTACTTCTGCTGCTACTACTACTACTACTACTACTACTACTACTACTACCAATAACTTCTACTACTACCACGACGACGGCTACCACTACTACCTACTACTTCTTCTACTACTACTTTCCACACGAGGGAAAGCATACGAGTGATACATTCCTTTCACGATGTGGTAAGTCAGCAGAATCCTGCAGTTCTACAGGAACTGGATAGGAAGTAAGCTGTTTTCAACGGCATGCTTCACACTCACCTTCAATTAATTGGGTTCTTGTTTGAAACTTTAGTTAAAATTATCGTAATAAGTATGTACAGTTAATACTATATTGTTTCTTGTGTTCTGCTAACTTAAACTATAAATCCCGTAACAAGAACCCAGATATAGATCCCTTGAAATGAACCTTAAAACCCTTAAAGGAACCCTTAGAGGAACCCTTAAAGGAACCTTGTAACTTTTTACCAAGAAGGTTAGGGAACCCTAAATATAGCTATTATATACCCATTATATAGCCCATTATAGGGTAGGGGTCCCCATTAAGGGTCCCTCCTTTACCCCTTTGAAACCCCTAAAACCTAAACCCTAAACCCCAAACCCCTAAATCCTAAACCCTGAACCCTAAACCCTTAAACCCATTAAGGGTCCCTCCTTTTTAGCACAGGAAAGGCCAGGGTCCGGTCTGAGCCAGCCACGTCCGGAAGCAGCAGGGCCTTCTCGTGATTTCCGCTCTACCTAGCGCTGTTTGGAAAGTCTGGGTTCTTGTTAAGGGGTTTAAGGTTTAGGGTTTATGGGATTTGAGAGGTAAGTTGCCATGTTGAAGAAACCATACTATGTACTCTAGGTCCTTATTGTGGTAACTTGATGTAAGCCCCTTCACAAGAACCCAGATGATGTTTGTCTCTGGTAGGAAGCTTGTCCAGTACACTTCTCCGTTTGTTTAACCATTTTGGGTTATGCTTGATCTGTATAGATTCGTTTGCAGGACCGGTTTGTGAATTGAGAGTGAAGGGAGACTTAGAACGCGAGTAGAAGCATGTGTGCTTGAGTAGTGGTGGTCGCTACGTAATCTGAGCCACTTCCGTCAGGCTGTAAGAGAGAAGAAGCGACGGTTGCCCAACCGCGTGATCCCCAACACCAAAACCTAAATTCTTGGGCTAGGGCGGCTAGGGTCTAGGGCAGAACGAGCTTGGTAAAGGATCTGCTGCAGACCGGTTTCCAGAGAAATTGAGGAGATGCCACAGGATAAAACAGTTCTTGTGTTCAGGGCTTGGAGTTTAGAGTTTAGGGTTTAGGTTAGGGTTTAGGGTTCAGGGTTCAGAGTTTTGGGTTTATAGGGGTCAAGATCAGGGTTTGCAGT